ATCACAGTGGCTTTGAGTCTAGTTTTAAATTGGGAAATGTTATACCCACTACCATGTCTCTGTTGTCTAGACTGGCTTTTGCTATTCTAGATCTCTTCTGGCTCCAAATGAATTTTTGGATTATTTTTTCTAGTTCTCTGAAATATACTGTTAGAATTTCAATGAGAATTGCATTGAACCTTTATAGCAGTTTTGGTAGTATGGCCATTTTCACTATGTTGTTTCTTCCTTCCCAGGAGCAGAGATTATCTTTCCATTTTCTTATATCCCCTTCGATCTCTTTTTTCAGAGTGCTGTAGTTTTCAATGTAGAAGTTTTTTCTTCTTTCATTAGATTGATTTGTAGATACTTCATATTTTGGGATGCTGTTGTGAAAGGAATTGTTTCCTTATTTTCTCTCTCAGTGAACCTTTTATTTGTGTAGAAGAAGGCTATTGATTTTCAAGTGCAGTCATTTTCATAGGAAAATACTTTATGAACAATTCCTCAGTAGTATGGGAATAAGAACAATGAATCAACAACTGAGATCTCATCTCTTTGAAAAGCTTCTGCACTGCAAAAGAAACCACCAACAGAACTAAGAGAACCTGCAATATGGGAAAAAAAAATTACCAGCTGCTCATCAGACAAAGGCCTATTATATAGAATATATAAAGAGCTGAAAAAATCAGGTCCCCCAAATATGAAGACCCAATTCAAAAATGGGCATCTGAAATGAACAGATATTTCTCAGACAAAGAAGTAAAAGCATGAAATAAATATATGAAAACATGTACCACATCACTGGTCCTTCGAGAGATGCAGATGAAAACAACTCTGAGATTCCACCTCACCCTACAAACAATGGATGCTATCAATAAATCAACCAATAACAAAGTTGGTGTGGTTGTGGGGAGAAGAAAACCCTTCTCTATTGTGGTGGGAGTGCAGCCTGGTGCAACCAGTATGGAATATCAATAAGGAGATACCTCAAATAACTAGGATTTGAGGTTCTATTTGACCCAGACATCGCTCTGCTAGGTATCTTTCCAAAAAAATTAAAAGAATCATACTACATTGATATATGTGTACCCATATTTATAGCAGGAGAGTTTGTAATAGCTAAAATTTGGAAACAGCCCAATTGCACATCAGTTGAAGACTGGATAAAGAAGATGTGGTTTTTCTATAAAATGGAATACTACTCAGCTCTAAGGAATGAGAATTTAGAGTCATTCATAGTAAAATGGATGTATATTGATGTCATACTCTTAAGTGAAATAAATGTTACACATGTGTAAATACCAAGGAGATTCTCTAGTGGGAAAAACTATAATTGTAAATAAGATCCAGTGGCATAATTGACCATTGGAAATAGGAAGAAAAGGGATAAACTTGTAGGTGAAGTGGAAAGTGTAGGGGAAATGTAATAAGGGTAAATAAAAAATATGCGAAAAGAAAAAAATGGAAATAAATTTTTTGTAAATAGGGCAGGAGAGGGGTGACAGGAGGGCAGGGATATGGAGAAAAAATGAGACTCAAGACCTGTCATGTAAAGGTACAAGATCCCAATGATGAATGTAACTGTACTGTATGCATAAAACATAACAATAAACTCAAAGAGAAAAAAAAAAGTAAAGTTTATAGTGACCCTGATTTCTGTCTCTCAATGGTCTAGACAAACTGGAAAAATAAGTGGATGAGTTCAGGGGATGAATTTCAAGCTAAAGGGCTGCAATGTGTCATTTGGCAATGATTTATCACCTCTGTGTCCTTGCACAAGGCCTTATCTCCTGTGATCTTGGGGCTATACTTACTAAAAGTCAAGTACAAATCTACAAAATTTAAAGAGGCACCACTAAGAGAAGATAGAGAAGAATCCTGGAAAGCAGGAGATGCTGATCCTTTCCCAAATGAACAAATAAATAAACAACAATACAAAAACAAAGTGAAGAGCCAACTAATTTCCCTCCTGTTAAGGTAAAGGGAGAATCACTTTGGAAAAAGCTTAGAATGTTTTACAAGACACTGCTTACAAAGGAAAGATACTTTACCAGAGGTTTGTCAGACTTGGGGGAAAGGAAATGCTCCTTTACTGGTCTCTTTATACTTTTTGTCTCATCTTAGCAAGTGCCACAGTTGCATGGGTTGGGGCTGAGAATTGCTTTGAAAGGCCATAGACCTGGAGCTCAGGAAAGAAAATGCAAAGATGTCTAAATCAAATCAAGAATTCTAGATCTTCCCTCATCTCCAATATCTTGTCTGTACATTAGCAAGACTCTGGTATAATAATGGTACTTACAGCACAACTGAAAAAAACTGTTACAATTCTATTTAAGAAAGAATTTCTGAAAATTATCAAAGTTAACAGAGGAAACAAACAAACAAACAAACAAAAAACAACTACACTAAAGAAACTTGAATATGGCAGCATTACTTCAGCTATATCAAACACAAACTGACACTCATTGTGTAATATTCAGATGTCTGACAATAGAAAGTGTCACCAGGGTGTAGAACAAAGGGAACTCTGGTTAATAGATAGGAAGAATTCAAAATGCTACAATTACTTTGGAAAATGGCTTGGATGTTCCTTACAAACTTAAATATTGTTTACTGTACCATGAAGTAAATGCACACAGGTATTTATATGAGTATAGTAAATCCATAAAATACATTCCCATAAAAACCTGCAGGTTTAATGTTTATCAATGTTTTCCTTCTACTTGCCAAAGATGTATTTTAAGAGTTGAATGGAAAAACAAAAGTATGGCATCTCCATGCAATTGGACACTATTCAGCAATAAAAGGGAAAGTATCAGCAGGTCTCCAGAACAGCTAGAAGAATGCACATTAATTCAGAGATGCTAATCTGGAAATGCTAGAGCCAAACTAAAGAGAGAACAAAGATTATGGGAAGTGGGAGCAGGCTAAGTAGCTTAAGCTCAAGGGCTTTTAGAGAAGATAAACTATTCTGTTGGATACAGAAAGGTGGGTGCATTACATTACGGATTTGTTTTGTTTGATTATTTATTTGTTTTAGGTTTTTTTTGGTACTGGGGAGTGAAGTCAAATACATTATGTATGTGTTAATATTCAGTGACTTGCATCCAACAAAGAGTGAACTTTAATGTCTACCATGGGCTCTGGTTAATATTACTGTATCAATATTGGCTTTTCAGTGGTAACAAATGTATAACACTAAGGCAAGGTGCAATAATAGGAGAAACTATGCAAGGGAAAAGAGCTATATGAGACTTCTCTGTATCATCTGCTCCTTTTTTTAAAACTTAAAACTGTTCTAACAATAAAGTTTGTTAGCAATTTTAAAAAGTCAGTTACAATTGCCTTTATCTTTACACTATCAATACTATCAATATTAAAACCTTGTGATATAAAAATCAGACTTCTGGAGCCTCAAATTTGTCCAAAAGGAAGTACATGTATGATGCATAAGGAAATGAAACAGCTCAATGATCTCTAATAAGTAATGTCCACTGTCTGGGGAACATTATGTCACACAGACATGCCAGCCCAGCATTTGTGTGCAGTGTGTCATCAGGGTGTGATATATATCTTCCACGCTCTTTCCAGTAGGGATTGAACTCAGGGCTTTTATACTGAGTTATATCCTCAGCCCTGTTTTAAACTTTTAATTTTTTTACTCTGAGACAAATTCTTTTTGTATCACTAAGATGCCCAGGCTAGGCTTGATCATCTGTTCCTTCTGCCTAAGTCTTCCGGAGTGCTGGGACTCTAGGACATGTCACTATGCTCAGCAGACCCCTGAACAGATTCTAAGGATCAAGATAAATGGCCACAGAACAAGTCAGGCAGAGTTCTCTTGGGAGAAGTATAATCTAAATAAGACAACTGAGAGCTAACCGGGGCTAGGACAAACTGTGTGAAAGGGAACAGAGAGGAGTAGGTTTCTAAAATAATAATCCCATCCAGATTGATGTGTATATGCTTTCCTTAGTAGTCAGCTCTTATTTTCAGAGCTGTTTAAGAGGTAAAGGCAAATATTTAAAATAGGATTTGCTTCCAGTGAGCTTGTTAGGACAGCAAGTATTGTGAAGCTGTCTTTGGAAGGACACCTAATCCAGGATCCTTGCTACACTCCACTTTCTTCCCTGTCATTTTCTTTTCTTGATCCTCCAAGGTTTATTTTCCCTGAATATCAATCCAGTATTATTCAGCGGGAGGCTTGGGGGCCTTTCCATTCCACTCTCTACAGTTTTGCTCATGACCTCTGCTTCCACCTTCCCTTCTCTTCCTGTCATTCCCTCCCTGCACCCCCTGAAAGCTACTAGAAATTTTAGGAATTTAACTGTGAGCCAAAGAAGCTTAAAAACCACACGTCCAATTACAGAGTCTTTCTGCCTCTCTGTGTGAAGGGATGGATCTCGTTTCTATCTATAAGTGCATCTGCAGGTATGCTTTCAGATCTGTGCTAATCCATTGCATGGCAGAGCCACACCCACAAACTAATCTCCACCTCCTCTCTGGCATTAAGTATAAAAACTCCCCAGAAACATTTCAAATGTACAAATAGTTCTCATCTCTTCTTTGCAGCTTACAATCTGTGTTGGTGTTTGAAGACAACTAAACTAGACCATTCCATTTCTTTCCAGGATCAACTGGACAGGTTGTACTTTTTTGTTATTGATGTTAACATTTATATTTTAGATAAAGTATAGAATGTATGTCATATTTTGCAAAGCCATTAAAAAGAAAATATAGAGAAGATAAAGTTCTTATTGATACTAACATTGTGATTGCAAAACATTGAAAGAATTTTAAAATCAGTCATTTGTCTTTAAAAATAACCTGTTTCATATAATATTTTCTGCTTCAAGAGTTTTAACATAAAATTCCAGTTTTGTGACTACCGTGGAAGTGCTATATGCTGGTTATGTTTCCTAGTTAATTAATGGGAAATAAAGGCAGCAAGCAAGTGAGTAAAAGAATGAAGAAAGATTTCTAGTCTCACTTTTATTCATGTGAAATGTATCAGAAGTAGTCTACTATATGAAGGACCTTGCAAATAATGCTGTTACTTCTTAATAGGAAACTTTAAATCAATACAGTGAAGTCCAGGGTCCTAGCAAATGACTGATGTGTGGTTAGCAGGATATTATGTGCACTGTAAAGAATTTTTAGTGGAATGGGTAGATCTACAGAGACTTTAATGATTATATGTAAAGAATAATTGTGAGTATCTATCTTTAATCACATCGTGAGGCCTACATGGAAAGATGTATCACAGGATAATTTCTGCTTTTGGCCACTTTCCCGAAATCCAGGTAAGTCTAACAGCATGAGAACCATGACAGTGCATTAGAATGCCCCAGAAACTACCTGGAAAGGAACATGCACACAGAAAATATTTATTGGACACAAGACAATTGGGAAAATGGAGAAGAGCAAGAGGAAGAAAGGAAAACAGAAAAAAGAAAGAAAGAAGAGAGAGAAATGATAGGAAAAACCTTTTTGAATCTAATTAAACTTATGAGTCACCAATTAGCATTTCTTAATTGCTGACCTTAAATAATTGTGGCTTACATATTCTTTTATTAAAATAAATTGACAACTTTCAGCTAAAATAAGTCTGTTAAGAAAAAAGAAGGCAGCTAGAAAGCAAATACACACATTATCAAATGAAATGACAGGAGGGGAGAGATCTTACTACACGTCTTTATATCCCTGAGACCGAACCTGAGCATGGAGAGGCAGTTGCAGGTCAGCCAACCACTCAGTGCTAAATGATCCACTTCCAGTTGACTATGAGCCAATTCTTACAATCTTGACTGAAACTTCAAAAATTCATTAACAAATCCAAACAGTAGACAAGGTAAGTGGTGCCTTTTATACTCACTTTTGTACTCATTTCTTCTGCCAAAAAATGTCTTATCTTCTGAGGGTAGGAAGAAACTTTGGGAAACAAGTTGATTTATTGACAAGACTAATTTTTACTTTAGGAATAGAAATGTCACAACTTTTGTGAGATTGCATCTGATATGCCTGACAGGGAGGTTCTGCTTTTTTTTTCTTTTCTGGAATTGAGGTTGCTCTTAGGGACTGGGATTCCTTTCCTTTTGGGAAGACTAATGACTATGACTAATCCAGCTTGGTGATTTCCAAAGCATGTGTTAAACCATTCTTTAAATAAAAACAAATACAGGAAAACGTTTCACACAATGTCTCTTGTCTTGTGAAATTTGGAGATGAATTGAAATACTGAGTTATCTCAGAGAAATTTATACAAGCAAACAAATCACAATAAGTCATAGTGAATATCTGCAGAGTGCAAACAGATAAAGAATAGGAGTTTCTCTAAAGAAAAGCACATTCATGAAGTCCATTCTTGGAAATTGGTGAAAGCACAAGTTTTTCCTTTTGGGTTACAGAGACTGTGTTTTAGTATATACTGTTAACACCTGAGCAACTTTGATTGACAGACCTCTGATAGATTGTGCTGACTGTATAAACTTGTATTAAGTGTTTGTAACTGATACTTGTCTCACTTATTTCCAATAACTCTTTCAGATAAGTATTATCATCTGCATTCCATATTGAGAAAATAGATCACACTAGAGCTAAAATATTTGGTGAAGATGATAATATTTCCAAAAAAAAAAAAGGAATTAGGATTTAAATCAGGATGGTCTATTTGAGAGCCTGAGCTCTCTAGTTATATTCTGTTCTGTATGTACATTAATTATCTATCTGAATACAAATATACAAACTTTTAACACAGTGTTTCTCATTACATGTGTCCAGTTAAATACATAGGTAAATATGCCAAATAAAAGGAATCTTTGACATATTTGATACTGTTAATAAAATTCTTCTGCTGAATATGGTGGTGCAGGCCTGTAATCTCAACACGCAGGAGGCTGAGACAGGAGAATCATCATGATTTCAAGAGACAACACGTTGGGTTATGTAGTGAGTTCAGGCCAATCTGATCTATATAGCGAGACCCTGTCTCAAGAAAGAAAACAAACAAACAAACAAACAAACCTAAGAGAAACTCCTGTACAACACAATTAAAAAAGCAAAGAAAGTTGCCATACAAGACAGAAAAAAAAGATTTCTTAACACAGAGAACAATAATCAATTATTATTAATTAACAAACAATTATGAATATTGAAAGCACATTCTAGACAGGCAAAATATATCAACCTGATTAAAACAACTAAAAACTTGAGAAATATAAAAAATTACAAAGAAGCTATGAAGGATAAACCTCAAAAAGATACTTTAAAATACATTTTTCAGTTGTAAAAATTGCTATAAATTATTTTCAATATCATCAAACTGAAAAAACTGGGAGTTTTATGATTTATGCAAATAGGTACAGTCTTTTAATAATTAATGCTTTTCAATATTTTTATTTGTACACTTTTTTAAGCAATTCTGCAGGCATTGCAAAGGTGATTGTGCAACACATGTGCTCAAAAACATGTAGAGTGAATTTCTCCCAATGAACAACAGTGTCATCGACAGAAATTCCACACTATAAAATAGGTGTCAGTCACAAAATTAAAAGGCCATCTCAATGTGTCAGTGTTAAAACCTAAGTTCACATTATATATTTCAGTGGTGACACAGATCATAAAAGTAATATAAAACAGTGTAAATTAAGTGAAACACATAAGCTTATAACTTTTTAATGTATTTAAATATCTAGAAGTTTAAATACTGTTCTATGTGAGCGGTTGTCTCTTATAGGTAGAATAAAGACAATAATTTTATTTTGTTTGCATCATTTAACTTTTTTTGTGTGTGTGCCAGGGATCAAACTCAGGACCTTACACTTGAGGCAGGTGTGGTGCCACTGAGCTAAATCCCTGGCCCTCGTTTAACTTGTTTCCACAGTCCTGGTATCACATCGAGCATACATGTATCTGTATGTACGTGTGACACATACATGTAAGTGTGTTCCTGCAGGAAGACACATATAGTTTCTGACCTCAGTGAGTCCAATTTTAGACAGACTTAGCTTGGCTGATAAGAATATCTACATTTTCATAGAACTGTGTTTCATGCAGACAGGGCATGTAAAATAAAACATTCGAAAGTGGGCACAAAAGAAGTGATATTCATTTTCTTTCATAGAAATAGGCTTGATAGACTAATTAGAGAAAAGCCAGTGAGAAGGCTATTGTCATACCCAAATAGCAACTGGAAGGTTCTGAAGCAAGGCATGGATTTTACAGGTAGAGATGAAAGGACAACGGGAAGAAGAGATGAGTGGCATTTGGTCAAAGTGCTGCCAAGGAGGAGTTAAGATGCAATGCCTGTGATGTGCAGCCTAGAGGTGTAGTGGGAAAACGCGACCAGATGAGACTTTCAACATAAGTCCATGGTTTAACTATTTAGTTTGATTTGTAGGATGTGGACATTTATGTTTTACTTATTTGTTAGAATGTGTACTATTTTCATTTTTACTTAAAAGATGCATTCTCTCAAGGAATGGAATTCTCTGTACTAAAGGGAATACATTTGGTAGCTGAAATAATTGCCTGCAGGAGTCTTTTCTCAGATAAAGCCACTGAAATAGAAACCAAGACTTGCAGCAGCCATGCATTTTCAAGTATAAAACAACTTAGCAGAGATCTTTAGGGTGAGAGTGAATATGAGAAGGATCCAGAAAAGGCAACCCCAAGCAAAGGTGAAATTTACTGAGATGCATAATCATAAACTTAAAATGGAGTAAGTTTGAAAAAAATGAAAACAAAAGGCAGATGCAAACTAATAAACTGTGAAATGGATTGTTATTAGGTGAGGGATGAATTTGAACCATCGTGTTCTTCCTTATACAGTAATTTAGACGAGTCAGTGAGTGGAAGCATCTTCTGCTTAGTGACTGAGTGAGAGAGAAAAGTAAAGTAATGGAACAGGTCACAAAGCAATCACCGATGTTACCAAGATTCCATATTTTAGATATAACAAACCTAGTGTCATTAATTTCAACATTTTTTTTGGTGGCACTGGAAATTGAACTGAGGGCCTTCACATTGAGCTACATCCCCAGCTCTTTCACAAAAATATTTTATTTTAAGACTGAGTCTCATTAAGTCACTTCATTGCCCAGGCTGGGTAGAAACTAGTGATCTTCCTGTCTCAGCTTCCCAGAGTCATAGGACTACAATTATGCACCACCAGTCCCAGCTTGATTTCATAAAGATACATACTCACCATCTAAATTCTTTTCCTTAAGTGACACATACTCAGCGACTAAGGAAACATTACACTTAATGCCTGCGAATAACTATCAAATAAGATCTCTGATGTTTATTATTATTTAATGTATACCTAAGTGAGCTCTTCACCAAATTATTGTTGTATTTCAAAACACTTTAGTCTTTTCATATGCTCCCTCAATTATTTTATAATCTCCCAATTTTGACATGAATTGAAGGCCTTATTATTTTTATTCATTACAACATGTTTTAGAGACACTCCAATTTTTACTTAGATCTAAGAATTATATTTTGTTGTGCCTAGAATCCTCTTCATAGACTTTTATTAATAGCAAGATTAGAAACTTACATTCCCAATATGTTTTCTGTATATCAGACCTATCTTTATAAGAGTATCAGGACCGTGTTATAATAAATCTTCCATTTACCTCTGCTGTACCTGTGTAAGAATCCGTACACACCAGAGAGGGCCTCAATACACATTTTTGCTAAAATCTGAAATGTTGTATACACAAAGTATAAAATGGACCATTATTTTTTCAGTGTACCCCTCTACGATGGATTCTTCCAAATATGACTATGGTGAAAACTTCGGTGAAATCCATGGAATCCTCTTATATAAAGAGTTCATCGAATATTGGAGTGATGTGGAAGCCTTCCAGGCGAGACCAGATGACCTTGTCATTGCTGCCTACCCTAAATCCGGTAGGTCTCTATGATGAGAACTATTACCCACCTGAACGGTAAATCTGGAGCTGGTCACTTACATATTAATTTTCTTTATCAAATGAGAAAGTTGTATATTTGGTACACGTGATACAATTAGTATATTTTAGCTCTATCCCATGACTATAATCCGTAACTTGAAAAGCTCACTGAGAGGTGCAAATCACTGATCACATTTGAAAATTATGCAGTATACATGAAAATCTATATTCATTCCATGAGGAAAATTTATATAGTTTTATGGCTTGTTTTGTATTATGGTCTATAGGACGTGCAGAGTATAAGCGCTTTTCATGGATTTCAACAGCTCGCTTTCTGACAACCCGCTCCGCATCTTTAAAGCTACCCATAAAACTTATTCTTAAAGCGATAACTTTCTTCTGAGATTTGCTTGCCTGGGAAGTGCAGTTTTCTAGTTTTACTGCCACAGACCAATAGACTTAAATTAAAACAGTTCAATCCAGACAGCCTTCTCTCATTGTTTCATTTAGCACTTGAAAAACATACATGCCAAACGAGGTACATCTTTGGTGACCCCAGCTCTGAAACTGATCCTCCACTCATTTTCTGGGCTCCACTCCAGGGCAGCACAAGGCCAGTGACCCAGAGAGGAAGCCTGAGAACTCTTCTCCCTTTACTTCTTGTCTCCTCATTTCCTCAGTTTTAGAAATTGCAATATTTTGCCCAGTTTGACTTGTACACGAGCCTCACAGTTGACATCTTACAGGATCTGGTGTCTCCCTTACTCTTTTGTTGTATGTTTCGCTACCAGCAAAATTGTTCTAAAACACATTCTGGTAATTTTGCTCTTTTGGTTAATGTCTGTCAACACCTTTTCATAACTTTTATAAACAGCTCAGACTTTAGCAGGAGCACCAGGCCTTTGTGCCTGCTATGTGCATTGTGTTGTACCTTTGTCCCATACATCAGACACATTATCTGTAGGCTCTATAGTGTATTTATAATTATTTTCCTTCCTACTGTAAAATATTAAGTATCCCATCATGATTTAAACAAAAAGAGACCATGCTTCTGCCTGGTAGAACCTTCCCTATCTGACAAAAGCAGTGGATTTATTCAAATATTTGATTAAGCCTAAGCTTAGTCATTAAGGGATTTTTTTTTTGGACAAAACATTTCAGAGCATCAGCAAAACACTGAGTTATATACTCCTCCTTTGTAATCCTTTAACCCCCACTGCCCATCTATAGTTCATAGCATTGAAAGAAAACATCGCTATCTTTGAACACTGTTTCTGACTTTTCTGAATGGCACCAGAGGACAGAGATAAGATTTATACTACTCTGTATTCTCTGAAACCAGAGGAAACCCGAAGGAGAAAAGCTGTCAGTGACCTTGCAGTTCTAAGTATTTATGCAAACAGTACCAGTTATTCAATTCTCTTGATTATTTAGTTGTAAACACTGAAGTACAAAATATTATCAGCTTTCACAATCATATACTTCATCGCAGACAAATGTGAAAAACTTGCCAGATGTTTTTGACTATACTCCGTATCCTTATTTGTCAAGGCTATCTTGCGGTCCTATAAGATTAACTATTGGAGATAAGATTGCTCTTAGTCCTGTGACTAAACACTCTTCAAATAATATCACATTGACACCTTTGCATTTTATCCATCTAAAAATCCAGCCCTTAGTGGTCAATGGAAAATAAGGCTTATTCAATTGTTACAGGCACAACCTGGCTTACTGAAATTGTATATATGATCTATAAAGATGGAGATGTGGAAAAATGCAAAGAAGATGCAATTTTTAACCGAGTACCTCACCTGGAATGCAGAGCCAAGGAGATGTTTAATGGTAATATTCAAGTTGATTTTAAAAACTCAACACAAATATTTTAAGTTGTGGCTAAAGATAACACAAGCAAGGATCACAAGCAAGAGTGGCAATTTGTATTGTATCTGTTATATAAGAAGGACTGTACATTTACATTTAAATCTTGATGATGTTTTACATAGCACATGTCCAGAGTAGAGTAAAATATTAGCTTTTGCTTGCATTCAGTAGAGTCTCATAATATGTGAGCATTTTCCTGTGAGCAAAATGTGAAAAATTTTAAATACTGGGAGATATTCATAAATCTTCGGGCACATATTGAGAAGCATACTAATCACGGATTGGTTTGATGGTATGAACAATTAAAAACTTAAATGTTAGTCAACAAAAGAATGGATAAAATGTAGCACTATGAAATCATTAAAATCTATTGAGATTTCTTGGCATTACAGTTGACTATAATATATTGAGGATAAAAGGCAATGATGAGATATGAAAATTTCCCCAAGTATGGTTTGGGATAGCTGGGATCAAAGCATGTAAGTACATTTGTATGAACAATTTTACTATAATGTGAATAATAATCTACAGGTGCTAAAATTTTAATTTGATGTTATTGTTTCTCTATAATTTTTCCTGTATTTTTCCCAGTATGATTATTGTGAGCACCACATAAAATCTAAAAGTTGCCACTGTTTTCAAAAATGTATATAAATCCATATAAATATTTAAAGACGTTAATATGATCTAACTTTGTTCTAACGTTTAAAAATCAGGTGTGAAACAACTAAAAGAGATGAAATCTCCAAGGATGATAAAGACTCATCTGCCACCTCAACTTCTTCCAGCCTCGTTTTGGGAAAAGAGGTGTAAGGTAACCAGGGTCGAATGCTCTCCGAAGCTCACCACAAGCGAAGACCCTTAGAATGATCAAGTCAGATATCACCTTCAGTGCGCATATGCACACTTCTTTGCCTGTCACTGGATCCATAGTTGCATAATTAATGTGGATTAGAGTCAGGGAACTCGGAGAATCTGTACTATCATTTCAACTCTGCCATTGGCCTGAGGTGATTCCTAAAAGACCCAGTTAAATTCTCTAAGTCACAGGTGTCTGTAGAAATACAATAACATCGTCCACATTGCTATGGTTTATATTTGCACGTCCCCAAAGCTCCCTCTGTTCAGAGGCAGTGGCTTGTGGAAGGTGATTGGATTATAGATGTGTTGTAGCTAGGTTGGTGCTGGGAGGTGGGTCTGGCTGACAGGTGCTGGTCCCCCGCTTCCCAGGCTCCTCCCTTCTCTCTCTGCTTCCCAGCTGTCATGCAGTGAGCAGCCTTTCCCACACTTGCCTTTCCTTGCTTCCTAGCTAACTATGGGGGGAAACATGAGCTAAAATAAACTTCTCCTTTAAGCTGTGGGTATCCAGCATTGTTTCTCACTTGCAAGGAAAGTGACTGAGAAACCCATAGAATTGTTAGAAGGATTAAATAAATTAAGCTTGCAATTGCTTGACATAGTACACAGCATATTCTAAGCAGATTATTTAGAAGCTACTTTTGTGTCTGTTGTAATTACTGGTTGTACTAAATATCCTCCTTTTGTAAAACTTCATACTTGGCACTGTGAGGCATATAAATGTAAAAATAAAACTGTAAATTAGACAGGCATCATAACACATTCTGAATGTTCATTCCGTTGTTAATAACTCAGTGTCATAGCCTGGCTGAGAGCTGAGGGAAAGCAGTTTATTTCAGCTTCAGTTCTGGTCCCAGGCCTAGGGACTTCAGCAGGTGATGATCCTCTTGCTGGCAGAGTTGAAGGCAGCATCATGTATCACCGGGTGAGAGGTAGAGTGCATGCATGTGTGCGCTGTGGTCTCTCTCCCACTTCATGTACAGTCATGAGTACTTTGTCTTAGACAGTAAGACTCTAGCCAGCTTGTTTAATCCAAATCACCACTCACAGGTTTCACCTGGGAACAGCATAGATTAAGTTTTATCTTAATACTTCAAAAAAATACTATTACCTTTGTAGCTGAAAGTAGAAGTCTTTAAATCCTGGTGAGACAATGGTTGAAGAATTAAGTGATGTAATACACAATTCCTTTTTTGTTAGATGATATATATTTGCCGGAATGCCAAAGACGTAGCCGTCTCTTATTATTATTTCTTTCTAATGGTTACAATTCATCCAGATCCTGGATCCTTTCCAGAATTTGTGGATAAATTCATGCAAGGTCAAGGTAGGAACAGTTTATTTTCTCTGAATTTGCCCCATATAAGTGATAAGGACAAATCTCCACACCCATGTTCTTTTCTGTTTTTTTTTTCACCATCTGTTCTGGTTATTATCTCTCCTTGATCAAAACACAAGATATTCTAAAAGCAGTTACTGCTTAGAGCAAGTGTATGGAAAATTTCAGAATCTTGATACTTCAGAGCAACACCTGAAGATAATTGCATTCAAGTGTGCCTGAAGGCTAGAGGTAGAAGTTTCTTCTCTGAAATTCAGACAATGTCTAATTTCTTCTTATCAGAAAGGCGTTTCACAATTTGTTATTGTCTGAGGAGGTAATGAAGGCAGGAGAATGCCTATTTTCTTTCAAGAAAAGCGCTAGATGTTACTTGAGCATGAATTCACAACCAATTGTGAATATCTCCAATACCCTTCCTCTTGGGACCCAGTGTGTACTCTGAATATTTCAACCAGATACCTAGAGTAGTAAGGAGTTACTTGAGCAAGCACCATGAGAAGTTTTAATTCACATTAAATACTTAGAATTAAGCAACTAAGTGTTTGGATTTGAAGATGAAAGGGTACAGGATTCACTAGTATCCATTAAAGAAGGGGGACTCTGAGTAATAATCGAAGGAAAAATAATAATGCCATTTTATATTCATAAGATAACATTGACTCAATATAGGGTACATGTGGATTATAGAAAAAATAATTTTTGCCAAGTATTATGGGTATAATATATGCCTCCAGATCATGTAGGCCCTGATAGCAGGATGGAAAAGACAACATGTACACCTCCACAAAAACCATGAATAAGGTGAAAAGAATGAATAAACATTGTAGAACTTCTTATATAATGAAAAATTGCCTACTAGCATGAAAGAATGGAGAAACCATATCATGACACAATGAAAAGTAGACCAGCTCATACACAGTGGCAATGTTTTTGTTAGTTTGTATGTGGATGAAATAGTTGTATGTAGGCAAGAGGAGAGAGAGTAAAAGAGGGAGAGGGAAAGGGGGAGAGCATGTGCTTACACCATACCATCTCTGTCATCTAATTTTCTGAAAGAAAGCTAACACTAAGCACCCCCAAGAGAGCATTTCTTGAGATCTAAATTACTACTGGTGGATAGGAGCCCACCTTCTTCGCACTAGGGCCTGGTTTCCCAGAGCACAGTTTCCTCACTGGTGGCTGGGATGCCGTCTTCTTTTGCATTAGTGTATGATTGCAATGCATAAGTTATCATCACATTCCTGCCTCAGCTCCATGTGTCTCCGAGGGCAGCAGGTCCTGTCTGGAGCAGCGTACTGCGGCTCTGGGCTGCTCTGTTTCCACCCATGGGAAGCTCACAGACTGCCCTGCAGGAGTTGGCTCTCAGGGCTTTGGGTGACTGAGGCACAGTAATACCCGAGGTCACTCATGCTTGCAGGGCTGGGACGTTAATACCCGGGCTGGACCTTGCAGCCCCAGAGCCCTCCCCTGTGGGCACTGCAGGGGGTGAAAGCCGGAGTATAAATGCTTTGGCCCTGGCACCGAACTTTTCTGCTGGGGAGACAGGTAATAGTTCTAACTCAACTCCTGATATTAGTAGCCTAATTTAATAAACACATACAGACACACAAACCAGTTTTTAAAATGTCCTCATAACTTTGAACTAAACTGATGGAATAAGTGACTTCACAAATGATGATGCAGGGATGGAAACACAGTGTGCTCTTGGTTTCGTTCATTCAACACATTTTGCTTTTTTTCAGGCAGCAAGTGTTGCTTAACTTGTGTGACAGATCTGTGCTCATCCACTTCTATTTTATTGTTGCTGATATTTGAGTACTTGTTTTCAAGCTGCACAAATCTGACAGTACGCCTTTACACTTTTTTCTTCTCTTTTCTTTTTAGTTCCCTATGGTTCCTGGTATGACCATGTAAAATCGTGGTGGGAAAAGAATGAGGATCCTCGTGTGCTATTTATGTTCTATGAAGATATGAAAGAGGTGAGAGACTGGAAACATAAACAATTCAGTAATTTCTAAGATGCTAGCATGTGGAATCAGTAAACCAACTCTAAACAAGTATTAGCCACCAGCTCCAAACTTTTGAGGATGCCGCTATAATCCAGATTTGTTAACAGAGAACTGAAAGTAGTAGACACAAGTTTTCTGTGAGCGAGTATTTTAGGCCTATATCTTAAAACATTTGCTAAGGATAAAATACAAACAAAACAAAACAAAAGAAAAACTGAGTTCTTAAAACCACACATACCTGTGAAAAGTAACCATGGTCAAAGAGTTGTTAAGTCTTCAAAACTATAACTGTTAGAATCATCACACACAGATTATAAAATAATTATCTTTGCCATATCCAAAAATAAACTTTGAAGCTCAGAAATTTACTCCCCATTTGTCTGCATCCCCCCAGTCCCCATTTTGGTCAATAATCACCATGTTTCAGTTTTCTCTATATTTGAATCATGAGAAATCTAAGAATGAAAAAAATGAATTTGCTTTTTCTTTTACAGTGTATCAAGTAGAAAGAGGTGGGCATATTAAGGTTGTGTTCATAGACAAGATCTTTGGAGTATGAGGAAATAAATAAAAAAGAAAAGTATACATAAGATGGTAGATTTGGGAATTGTTAGGAACAAAACTTGAGTCATGTAACTAAAATTTGGACAGTCAGGTATATCAGCCTAAAGGTGTCACTAATGCTGAAGTTTGGAAGGTAAGGAGACAGAAATCTCCACAGGGAGAATTGCACACTGGAATAAAAGCTGCAGTTGCTCTTGCAAGGAGTTGCTTTGAGTGATTTAGTAGAACAATGGAGCAGATAGCAGGAGTGGCCTGGAGATGGTGATGCCTGTGTCTGGGTCCAGTACATCTTATGCTTCTTAAATTTCCCGTTTCCATATTTTTCCTCACTATCACAGTAGTTTAGAAAAACAAAGGGTTTCTGCAAGTTCTCATCTGCCAGTTTCAATCTTTCTGTCACAGGGCACTGTGATTTTTGAGAATGTATGTCCTATATTCTATATTTGAGAATATACATTCACTTTCCTTGATAAAATAAATTGAACATAAATAACTACCAAAGACTACAATGATTGCTACACAAATATCTAATTTAATTCTTCTAACAATTCTGCAGTATTTTATATCCATTTTATGAATGAGAACAATTATGTAGAGGGTGGCTTTTTAGAAAACTATTTCCGAAGGAGCATTTTTTTCATTAAATTTTAATTCCTACGTAATTGAGAAAAAGAAACTTTTTCTCATTTTTATCCAAATTTTGTTTAATTCAATTTTAGCAATATTGTCTTCAAAGCATTTTTTTTCTATAGGACATCAGAAAAGAGGTGATGAAACTGATGCAGTTCCTGGGGAGAAAGTCATCAGAAGAGCTTGTGGACAAGATTATAAAGCACACATCATTTCAGGAGATGAAGAACAATCCGTCTACCAACTACACCATGATGCCAGAAGAAATCATGAACCAAAAAGTGTCACCCTTCATGAGGAAAGGTAAGAAAGTCATGGCATTTGCCTCTATTGCTGTAAAATTGCTTATTTAGTTTTTGCAGCATAAGAATACTAAAAGATACCTCAATTCATCACCAGCAATAATAGTACACTCTACTAGCTATCATTAACCAAGCCTGTGTGTCTCTAAATTGCACCATATTCCGTACATATATTGTCTACTTATGATCTAAACAGAAACTCAGAAGAATGATCCAATTTCCCTCTGATTTTAAATGAAGAAATCCTCTTAGAACAAGAAAGGTTTTTTTGTTTGTTTGTTTTGTTTTTTGGTTTTTTGTACCAGGGATCAAAGTCAGGATCACTTGCCAGGCAGGCATGGTGCCACTGAGCTAAAACTCTAACTCTGAAGTATTAGTTTTTTCACAAACAAGAGACTGAAAATGTCAAGATGAATTGGAAAAAGTAGGAATTTAAATACATCCCTGTTTAGGAAAGATAATAAAATGCAATGAGATGAAATACTGTTTAGAGGAGGAGTGACACCTACATGATCAGTTTATGAATTCAAAGCCAAATAAGCTATGCAGAGTGCTGAGACTTCCTCTTATCAACATGGGAGGAATCAGAAACAAAATGGAAACAGATTTTGTTATGTAAATCAAATTGTTAGTGAGGTACTCATAGAACTTTAAACATAATAGGAATAACACATGTGTCACAAGGCAAAACCAGTCAATTTTAGATTATATATCAGCTAGTCTTTGAAGTGCTTCTCTTTTTTTTTTTCATAGTTTCTACATGTATATAGGTCAAAGTTAGATTTTTTTTGTTGTTTTTTTTTTATTGGTTTTTTTGGTACCAGGGATTGAACTTGGGTCCTTGGGCTTGCAAGGCAAGCAGTAGAACCATTGAGCTAAATCTCTGGCCCAGGACAAAGTGGTTTTACTTGTGGAAGACTGCTATCTGCTATGCCAGGGGACATTATCTGATTATCAGTAACACACATTTTCATTTTCTGCATTTTGGACCAGTTCAGTAGACAAGTTTAGAGTTTCTTGATTAGAAGGTTAATGAACTACAGAGAAATAAGGAGAATTCCTTTGTTCTTTGAGTCATGTTGGAAGTGTGATGCAAGATAGAAAGAAGAGGGCCGGGGATTTAGCTCAGCAGTTCAATGACCTGCCTTGCAAGCAACAAGGACCTGAGTTCAATCCCCAGTACAAGAAAACAAAAAACATACATATGTATGTAGGTGAAGGAAAGGTGCATCCTCACTCTCACCACATAGAAATATCAGCAAGTAGTTACCAGAATATATACATATATAAAGAAGAGGCTGCTAAACTGTTGTAATAATGGGTGGGAAACTTGGGCCCTAGCCACAAAAGTGGAGAGGAGTCAGTGGACTTAAAGAAAGCCAACATCAACAGTACATTAATATGTTAGTGTCCAGGGGTAACTTTCCAGTTTATGGATTGGACCTAGTCTTGTCCTTAACTAGATTATCAGAAAGTACGTGAAGAGCACATAATTTTGTAGGGCAAGTGAATTTATTTTGAGCTAATTGAAATGAAATACTTGTATATCATCCAGGTGGCAGTGACATATGAGCAACTGAATATAAAAGCAGAAGTCTGGAGTGAGTGCTATTAGTATGAAGATATTTAATTAATTACTTGGGAATGGGGAAAACATGGGTTTCATCATGGAAGACCCTATGCTTGAGGTGAAAGGGAAGGAAAATCACATAAGAAGAAAGTGGAAGAATAAAATTTTCTCTTCTTTTCAAAAGCCAACTGAGACAAATTCACCTTGGTAAACTCAAAAAATACAATATTTATGTATATATTTTATAGCAAAAATTGTGGATTATAAGAAAAACTTGACTAGGTGATAAGGAAAGTGACTAACATTAGAAAATTTCACAATTTTGGTTGAGAAGATGCAATACTGACTATTTTTTTCTTTCTTTACAGGAATTTCAGGAGACTGGAAGAATTACTTTACACTAGCCCTGAATGAGAGATTTGATATACACTATGAGCAGCAAATGAAAGGTTGCACATTGAAGTTAAAAACCGAGATCTGACAGTGCTTTGCTGTCCTTAATGTATCTGAGATTAAAAGTTTCCTATCAGTCTACATTTTTTCTTACTTTATATTGATAAGAAGTCTTCTGAAAGATCAAGTTCATATATTTAGTGAAGAAGAATCAGTAGTATTATCTTTTTTTCTTTCCTACACTATGCAAAGTGTAATCTGTGGAAGTGATGTAGAAGTAGTTCACTTTTTTAGTTTAATGAAAAATGCCACAAGCTATTTTGTGATTTTTTTAAAAATTTAGGTCATTTAGTACATACAGTAATACCTCAGTTCATGAATACTTCCGTGAGCAAATAATTCAGTTCCTAAACAGAAGTGTTTGGGAAATTTTTACTTCTATTTGTGAACTCTGCATCAGTTGATCAGCAGGACTTTGGTCATCTTCCCTGCAGTAATTAAATTCATCTTCCCTGCAGTAATTAAATTCATGAACCGAGGTACCACTGTATTCACATCTATATAAATGAATAATAAATGAAATTGTGAATACAATTTGAGCAACAAACAAATAAACTCATACTGGATTATAACCTGTAGTGTAATTTAAATGTACATTATTTTGCGTCAGGGATTTAGCTCAGAGGTTTCATTGCCAACTTTGCAAGCACAAGGACCTGTGCTTGATTCCCAATACAAAAAAATTAAATAAATAAAAATAAAAAACAATAAAAACAAAAACAAAAAATAAAATCAAAATGTACATGATTCTACACTAATAAAAATAACTAAGTTGTAATTGAATGTTGAAAACATAATTATCCAGACCAGAAGATTTACAACTAATAATTGGTAGTTCCACACCCCATTCCTTGTGTGTGAGATTCACCACATGCTTTTCTTGTGAAGATTATGGAAATACTGAATACCCCAGGGAGGGAACATTGCCTTAGAGTAGGATAGTCTGGCAAGTTCCCTCAGCCAAGTGACTCTGCTTAACATTTTTGGGAATAAAATGTGTAGGTAACAGATTGTGTTAGTTACTTTTCTCAGTGCTGAGACAAAATATCTGACACCCAAAGTAAAAGGGATGAGGGTTTATTTAGCTCACAGTTCACAGAGGTTTCAATCCATAATTGGTTGGCTCCAAGGCAGAGTGGCACATGGCAGAGGGTCATCTCAGGAGAAACAGTTCATGTTGTCAAAATGGTAGCAAAAGCAACAAGAGAACCTTTCCAGCATCTTCCTGCCCCTTTGATCTTGTTCAGACTCCTGGGATTAGGGTGGTGCCACATCAATCACTTATGCGTTGTGGCTTGGTAATCACATGCTCTTAAACCTGGCATCACATGCTGTAGATTCAACCACCTGTGGAAAAGCATGAGGCTTTGGGGTACCAGCTAAGCACAAGCCATAACACAGGTGTATTTGATAAGCGATACAAACTGCACTTTGCTCTGTGGGTTTCTTTCCCAAACTCATAGCCATTGTCTAACCAAGAGCAAAACATCAAACTCAACATAGGAAGATATTGTACAAAATATTTTTATACTCAAGATTCTTCCAGATATGGCCAGGGGGAGTCCTTTTATCCTGGCTGTGGGTCTTTGTGACATTCCCCAGTCACATTTTTAGGGAGCTTAATTAATTATTTTTGAGTCAGAGTCTCATTATGTAATTCAGAGTATCCATGAACTCACTACATAGCCCAGGCTGGCCTCAAACTTGAAGCAATTTTCTTGCCTTATCTTCCTAAGTGCTGGGATTACAGGCATGTGCCACCACACCATGAGTTGGGAGCTTATTTCTTGGCTTACCATGTATTTTCTTGACCTAGCTCTAGAACTTGCTATTTTTCCAGGTAACCAGAGTTCATTTTAGTAGAAGATCAAGACTTGCGTACTTTGCATACTCATTGTTACTAAACTGTCATTACGTGTAGACCATCTTAATAGACAGAATACCTAGGAAAGTAAAGAAAGGAAGAGGAAGAGTCTCACATACTTCAACTCTTTCTTTTGTGGCTTCTAGAGATCTTTATTTTTCTCATTTTGAAACACGTTAGTAGACATCAACAATGTAATGAGGAAAGATAAAGATATACTTTGGTTTATAGTCTAAAGAGGTTTCAATCCATAGTCAGCTAGCTCCAAGGCAAGGCAACATGACAGGGGTGGGGCTGGAGTTACAGCAGGCCAGAGACAGTAAATCAGCAGTAGTAAGCGTGCCTTCCCTTTCTCCTAGAAGGCTTTTGATTGGTGCCACCCACCTCCTGGGTGGGCCTTCCCTTTATCTGTAAGCAGAACTATACTAATCTCAATGAGTGGATTTATCACACCCTTAATCTAAGTGTCACATGCCCTAGATCCAGATATTCCAAAAAGCCCCAAAAGGCTCATGAGTTTTTGGAGGAGCATCAAGATACAAACCGTAATAGGATTCAACTTATTTTGTTAAATTTAATTTTTATAGGTACATGTTTTGCAGTATATGATGATTACACTTATCATGAGGAGTCCGTACTTTTACTTTATACATCTTAATTATTTTTGCCCCATTTCCCTGCCCTCTCCAATTCTCCATACACTTACTATTTTTAAAAGTTCAATTTCTATTAGTTCTTTAATTCTTTTAAAAATCCTTTATCCCTTCCTCCTCCCTGCAATTGTTGTTCCTTTTCCGACTTGAAAAAGATCTCCTTAATTCCTGTTATCTATCTTTTATTTTGCTCTTTATTTACATTTTGGATCGCTCATGTGAGAAAAACCATGTAATATTTAAACGTGTGTCTACTTTATTTCATGTCCTCAAAAAATTACAAATAGAAACTCCATTTTATGCAGTTATCCCTGTTGTAGGTATCTTCCCAAAAGAGTTAAAACCATCAGATTACAGAGATATGTACATACTCATATTTATAACAACACAATTTGTAATAGTTAAATCTTGGAAAATCTATATTCCTATCAATAGATGAATGCATAAAGAAAACATGGTATTTATACACAATTAAATATTATGCCATAAAAACTGAACCTAACTTTTATCCTCGCAAAATCACACACTTTTAAAAAACTATGTGTCATCTCTCAGGTAACTTTTGGGAAATAAAAAAATGTCCTTATTTGAACAGCAAGTGTCCATTTTCTAAATTTCTGTTTTTTCTAGATTTTGACCCAGTTCAAAATTTTTCCTATTAGATCACCACTGTGAAATAAAACTCAAATATGCAGAAGCAAAGCTGCAATAAAAATAACAATTAAATAGAATGATACAGGAGTGCCATAGGGAAACAAAACAAAACAAACAGCACCAAAAGCATGTTCTCACAAAACTAAATTATTACTAAAATTTTTCTAATAAGGCTAACAAAGATAAAAAGAGAAAGGATGTAAATAATGAAAGTTATCAATGAAACCAGGGAATATCACATAGATTCTGAAAGCAGTAAAAGGAAAACCACAAGTTTATACTCATAAAATTCACAAGTTAGAAAAAGGCTAGTTTTTCAAAACCTATATACTATCAAATTCACACAAGGTAATATATACAACTCTAATATTTTTATAATTATTAAATAAATTTAATCTATAATGAAAATAATCTTTAAAATCCCAATGCCTAAATGGGCTCACTGAATAATTTAAGGAAATATTTTAAGAAAAATAGAAATTAGTTTTATAGTCTCTCCCAAAATATTAAATATTACTATATTAAAATATATTAGTGCAATTGTCTAACTTACATTACAGATTTAATATCCTGTATTTCTCTGATAAGAAAACCAGACAATAGTAGGAATAGGAAAAATGAAAACAACAGACAATTACTTCCTTAATTTAGTCTCAAACCCTCCCAAGACAGAAAATTGAACTAAACACCATGAAAAAAGAATTATACAGTCTAATTAGCTGAAATTTATTTCAACAATGTAAAGTTACTTGAACATTTAAAAATTTATCACAGAAGTCTACCCTACAAATAGGCAAAGAATAGTCTCAAACAGCAATAGATAACTTAGAAAATGGACCTCCTAAAATCCAATAGTTATTGATGCTAATAACTTCTAATAAGAAGAACATCACCCTGATACAGACAATCTAATGGCTTAGTGCTTCATCAAACTTTGTCGTGAAAGCTGAATATTTATTTATTAAGACCAAGAACAAGGAAAGAATATCTGATATTTATCACTCTTATTCAACACAGGTCTAGATGATCTAATAACAGAAATAAGAAAAGAACATGAAAAGGCACAGATCCTAAGGAAATAAATTGCTCTGTCCTACAGAAACCCAGCACCTGTGGGGAGAGGCACCTGCAGTCATGAGAGGAGGTCACCTGGGCACGGATCATGTGGACCTGAGTCTTCTGGCCATAGTCATGACATTCTCCACTCCTGGTCAAGTCTGCTGATAACTGGAGAACTAGTGAAGAGTTTGACTACAATGTCATAAAAATACTTACTCTGAATCATCCAAGTAACCCATGTCAAGACTCTCAACCCTCAGGAACTGTGTGAAACAATGTCGGTTGCTTTCAGTGTTGATTTTAGGATAATTTACAAAACTTAATACGTAGTAAATACAATATAGAATAGTATATTTGATAGATAAAGTATAGATTGCTAGAGAGGAATGGTGAAAGGCGAGGCCACATGGAGCTTGCCTGGAACCATAGCCCTATGACCCTGGGCCATGGCAGAGGAACAGTGAGAGACACAGCCATGTGGAGCTGGTCTGGGAACACATCCCCACCCCAATGGGCCTCAGGAGAAGAATGGTGAGAGGTGCAGCCATGCCTGCAGCCACCCTCCCATTGTACCTGGATTCAAACCACAGAGGCATAGGGCGTCATAAAGGCTATTGCTCTGAAATCCAGCCTCAACTTTTATTTAATTCACATAGGTGGAAGTGAGAGATGAATAACTACCACAAATTGTCATTTTTTATGCTATGCTGGATGCTATTGTGTTACTGATTGTATTACTTCGGGTAAGGTGTTATGATTGATTTAATCACTTGTACTTCCTGGTATAATGAAAATGAGATTGTATCAGAATCATTAGAGATTCAAAAAATAAAGATGAGTGATAATAGGAA